AGTTGCCATGGTTACTGATATGTATCAAACTTGTTTAAATTAAATCAGTGTTCAAGATCCTGAAAAAAGAAAAATACCCATATTATTTCAGTACCCGTACAGATACATTCACTACAAAAAGTAATTAGCATTAATTACTATTCAGTATGTACCAAAGAGTTGTGGCAGATGTATATAAGGATGTAACAGAATACCCTTGAATATTTCACTGTCATTATCAACTTGGATCAACTTCAGTTTTCAAGTTATGATGAGTAACTCATACAGTATTCAATGTTCAAATTCTGCGACGTAAATGCTAAATGGACATTTCAAATATGCTGAGAATCTTGAACAAGAATTTTTAACAATGAAAATTACCAACACAGTTCCATAATATTCTGAACAAAAACATTGTTTTCTGTTTTAAGTAGTGGAAAATCAAAAGATGTTACAAACTTACGATACTAAAAGAAAGACGTCAATCAGTCTGCAAAAAATGCTTAAATCTAACCATTGAAATTACAATTACCCCAGTGGTACTTCATACGAAAATTTGACAAATCGGCACGGGTACATAATTACTATTGTTTACTAATTATTGAAAATTATTATGTACACATTATATGCCATATCAGTGTAAGAAATTAGGATTTGAATCGACTAGGCTGGTTGGACTACCAGATTGGAATATTCACTAGCCCAAAAAACATTTCACTAGCACGATTAACTTGTTCTAAACAGTTGTTTATATTGCCTCTGAAAATACAGTAGCCTGGTCGGGCTTGTTACTGTGAAAAGTTGGTAGCCCAAGGAGAAATTTATTAGTCAGGGGCTATCGGACTACTGCTAATTTCGAACACTGCCATATATATATTGATTAGCGTTTTAATTCTCGCTATCAGATGCAAACCAGCGTCCGCGAGTGTACTTATCAGTGATTGGCTCAAACCGCTTTAATGTTGATAATTCATCACGCCTTAGCCCTATTGTACCTGAAGGCACATTATTCAATTTATTGCTCATTTGTTGATGCGAAATTCTTTACGTCGGCACTTATTGATTGACAAACAGTACAGTTTCAATGCATCCATCAGAAATTATGATGGTTCAAATTAAATCAAAAATGATACAACAGCTGATTTTATGATGGGTCAGACCCGAGGACATGGGTCAAAAGAACACCCTGAAATTCTAGCCAAAATTAATTTAAATAGTAACACATAGAGAAGATGACAGGATGTTCATTTGACCCAACACCCATCCTAGTCTTGTGAAATTTCTTAAACTAAGTTAAAGTGCACCTATTTGACTCTTCATAATAGTCATATTCAGTCATAGAATTTAGCACTGGCCCGGTGGCCCACGGCCAGTGAAAATTAATTTGGCCCAGTGAAAATTTTAAGAAAATTTAGTAAATATAATATTATAGTAGAATTAATTAAAAACTGGAATTTTCAAAACTGGAATTCGGGCTAGTAAATTCAAAATCTTAAAGGGTTGAGTGTCTGCCTTATAATTGAGAGCACCGGAGTTCAATACCTGGTCACCACCTGAGGATTTTCAGGTTTACATTAGCTATATCCTGGATAAGACCATGGGGTCTAATTCCCCTAAAGCATATCATATATAGTAGACTCATTTCGTATATGTAGTATACAAAATATAGGCTTTGGTGTCTAACACTTACCCCACCCACCTATTTTTACATTGATTTGGAATAATGAAAAAAATTTAAAAGAGAATTGCTTGCTTTCTAAGAATGTTACCATGAAATAATACATACCATTATTTAAATTAATTATGTCTTTGATGTGCTGTTTGTCAATTTTATTATGTTAGACAGCTTTACTGCTTTAAAAGCAATTAATTCCAAAACATTTATTGATCTTGGTCAAAAAGTTTCCCTTCACAACAAGAATGCTGGTGCATCATGGGTAAATTTCACCTAAGCTATTTATTTGCATTTTACCGATCAAAATTATTCAAAAACATTCTCAAATTAAATTATACAAATATTATGAAATGTCTTGTGTTTCAGTTATAAAAAAAATGAATTTTTTTAAAATTTCATCTTCCCGAGAATTCGACGAGATCAAAACAAATCGAAAGTAAACATGGCTGCAGGAGTCGTAGTATGGGAATGGCAAAATGAATATGGAGGCTGGAGACCCTATTCCCCTCAAATAACTGCTTATTTGGAAAACAATAAAAATTCTCAAGTTCCATTACATCTTGGGAGCGTTGATCCCATTTTGTATTTATATCAGGTTGATGTAAAAAATCTAAACCAAACTAGGCAGGGAACAGGTGATTAACCTATGACTATATTTAGAAATAGTTGTGCAACACCTCTTAATTTTACGCATTTTTTGGGCACTATCCAGGCATCGATTTATTTGTCGCTGTTTAAACTTGAAATGTAAATTTTAAGTAAGAACACACTAATTAAGCAATGTAATTATATGTTTAATTGCAAGTGGCAAATTTAGGACTGAGTCACTGCCACTGGTGAAAATATACAAAATATTTATTCTATCAGATCTAAATTAGTTTGAAGTCATGCATATTACTAGTATGTCAATTTTGTCAATTTAAACAGATAAGATAAATAGGTAAATTTTTTAGAAAGGTGTATATATTTTTTAATTTTAGCATTATCTATTGACCAATGAATGATTGTAGCTATTTTTAGATCAGGATTGCAAATCTATTTATAGAACATGGTAAATAGCTATAAAGAAGGGTATCATAATAATGATAAACATAGTTACATACATATTACTGAAGAAAACACACTTGGTTGTATTTACCTGCTTGAATTGATTTTGGATAAAAATATTGGAAGTATGACTTACATTCGGAAAAAGTTAGTGATTGTTGGAGACGGAGCATGTGGCAAGACATGCCTACTTTTTGTGTTCAGTAAAGATGAATTCCCAGAAGTTTACATACCAACAGTATTTGAAAATTATGTAGCAGATATTGTTGTAGACGGAAAAGAGGTTGAAATGGTATTATGGGACACTGCTGGTCAAGATGACTACGATCGACTACGTCCCCTTTCATATCCTGAAACAGATGTTATTCTAATGTGCTTTTCAGTAGATAATGTTGACAGTTTGGAGAATATATCGGAAAAATGGGCACCAGAAGTTAAACATTTCTGTCCAAATGTTCCCATTGTCTTAGTTGGAACCAAAAATGATTTAAGAACTGATGAAGCAACAAGACTTGAACTGGCAAAAACTAAACAAGAAGTAGTGAAAGTAGAAGATGGTCGTGCCATGGCTGCACGTATAGGAGCTTTTAGTTATCTGGAATGTTCCGCAAGGACAAATGATGGAGTTCGAGAGGTATTTGAAGAAGCCACACGTGCTGCCTTGCTAGGAAAAAAGAAGAAAAAGAAGACCAAGTGTAAAATATTTTGAAAAATTGTGATTTATTGGATGCTATGTCACTGTAATAATACGATGTGAAAACAACAACATAAACAAAGTGAAGATAATTATACACTTTTTTCTTCACAATTTCATGTGCAAAATGAAAGGAACTTTATTTTCAAGTTGGTTTAGACCATAAAATATATTTTATTATTTATTCTGTTATATTAATCACAGACTTTAACGGTACATGTAAACCTTTTCCCTTATATAGACGTGTTTTGGCGGCTTTTTGTCCCCCCCCCCCCTTTTTAAGGCCTCAAACAGTGAAAAAATGCCCTATTTACAATGTAGGCCCCGAACACTGTTTTTCGTTTGAGAAATGTTGTTAAAAAAAGTGACCACTTTTTCTGTGCTGTCCCACATCAGAAAAATACATCAGGGGGTTGGCAGAAGGGGGGTGTGCCCCCTTCTGTTTGGGGGATTTGAAGGGGGCAGTAGTCCCCCTCATCGCAAAGAAAATTTTGGACATGTGAATGGCTAAAAATGTTCTCAGGTCGATCTTAAGGTGATGTGTAACCAACGCTGAAAAGCCTTTTACTCTATCTCATTGCATTTAGAAGTTGCAGCACTTTGAAATAAGTTTTTATGGAAAAAAAAAACCAATGCAAAATAGTGATTTTTCGCAATTTTAAGACATCCCCCTGTTGCCATGGTAACAGGATATTTAAGATTGAGCATGTTGTTAGAGAGGTTATGATTCAGTCAACATATGTGCCAAGTTTCATCAGTATTGAAGCATTTTTTATAGTTTTATAGCAGTTGGAACTTGTAACAGGAGGCTTTTCAATGAAAAGTTGAAAACAGCCATTTATCACACAATGCTCATGGGGTAAAAGGTTAATTAAAGTCTGTGTGTTAATGTAAATTGCTTTCTGAGTTCAGTTAGTGTATTTAAATGAGATTGCGTGAATTTTCATTTCAGTGTTTTTTTTAGAACTATTGTATTTCTGGGTACTAATTTATTAATATCAAATACTGATATATTGATCAAATATTGTTTTGATAAAAAAAAACAAGAGAAAAAAACAAACACTTTTTGCTTAATACATAAATTGATGTGTTAAAACTGTTTCCTTGCTTCTATTTTTTCAAACAAAATTAATATCATGATAATCATGATAATTGTTTACAGTGAATAAGTTTTAATATTCATATCTAAAGACTGAAGGTAAAAAAACTCTTTATTCATAAATCAGAACATTTATCATACCATTATTATACTGTTAAATATATGATTCTATGTTTTCTTATTTGTACTTATTCTTTGTTCAACAACAACAAAAAAGCCTTGTTTTATTTGCCCAAACAGTATATCACTGTATATACATGTATGTTGAGCATTTCTTTACAGAAATATGGCCACTTGTGTATTTATAACTAAACAGATAAAACTATAATAAATAATTTTGCAGGGTGGATGTACAATTTAATGTTAACAGTTTATACTTAAGGTGAAATTTGAACACTTAAATGTTTATATAAGCTTACCTTAAATTTATCTAATATATAATATTTTTGTGTGTATTTGTGAAAGTATTCTTTCATATTAATGTGCAATCCTTTGTGATTTGTACATGTGTTACATGTATATACATGTATGTGTGTGTGTTAAATTTATTTTATGACATTTTCTCTGTAGATGAAATGATATGTTATGTACATGTAAATAAACTAAATATGTAAAAAAAATGTTAAATTGAAGAAATAAAAACTATTATCTATTATGTAAAGAATTGTTGTTATTTTCTCTCAGCTAAATAAATATTGTTGTATAGATCTTGTTTATGTGCAAGTTATCCATGCTAGATAATCGTTTTATTTTAATTGCATACCTTTTTGAAAAATTGAGACTGTATAGATACTGTTTTTGCATAAAGTCATATCAGTCTGTCCTAAGACCAGACCTTATCCAATTAATATGTCATTAGATTACAGGCCTACAGTCCTTGAAATATGTATAGAGGTTAGTTTTGGTATATAGTATGTAATAGTCCCTGGCTATTTTAAGGTCAGTTCATGTTGGTCCAAGGTCACTTAACATTAAGTACTTGCAAAAGTTGACAGGAATTTGAAACTCAAGGAATTTGGGATAAAATACAAACACTTTATTCTATTTGTTCTAAATTTCTCCTATATTACTTATGTTAAGGAAATGTTTGGGCAAGACGGGAGTTTACAAAACTGTAAACACCCAAGAAATTGAAAACATCTGACAATGTTGTGAATGATAAACAATTCCTATTGAAAATATGATAAGTGTAGAAGCATGCTTTACCCTTTCTAATATTCCAACAATATAAATACATTTGCACTAGTTAGCTGGTTGTAGGCTAAGGCCCCCCCATTCCTGGGGAATATTGGGGACTCTGACTTTTCTGATAAGAGGGACAGTCAGTTGATCACTGGTCTGTGACTTTCCTGCCATTCCTGGGGCATATTGGGGACTCTGACTTTTCTGGTAAGAGATCACTGGTAATGTGACTTGGCCATTTCCCTATCAGTTTTGGCACCAAAAAGAAACCATTGCATTTACAGTGCAGTGTTGTGACAGATGATGGAATAAAACTCATTTGATTGGCGTATAGGCTTCCATTAATTGAAATTTGGGAGTCATTTACTCCTTGATTTTGGCTTGTGACTTCCAAATGATTTTCCTTCTTTACCTATATACATTGTGTACATGTAATGTGACTTCCAATGTCAGACATTTTGCAGTCTCTGACTTCCAAATTTTGGAACTTGATACAATGAATTCAGAAATATTACCAGTTGATAAGAAACAACTTGTAAATGATGAGGCTTTTGAAAAATAACTGAGCTGTTACCAAAATACTGATTAAACATTATATTTTGTTGACCAGTTAATGGTTGTAAAATGTCACTGAATGTATTATAGTAATCTAATAACATGATTCAATTACCTCCCCTGATGTTAAGTTCATAGTGGTAATCCGATTAATCTTAATTAAATCGTACAAAAATTTTAATTGTTATCAAAGTGGGTACCATCCTGATTCCAGGTACAGCATCACAATATGGAGATAGATTTAACTGGTAACATAAATCTTTGATTTATGCCAAATCCCACCTTTTTACATTCTTGTTTCTTTTTCTGCATTTACATTTAGCTAACAAAAAAAAATATAATTATATATTTGTTATAAGCTTCACTTGATCTTAATATTTAGCCAGTCTAACTTAAGCTACTTGATGTTGACTTTATATCAGGGGAGGTAATTAAATCATGTTATTAGATTACTAAAATACATATAGCTTATATCAGGGGAGGTAATTGAACCATGTTATTAGATTACTATAATACATGCAGCTAATATCAGGGGAGGTAATTGAATCATGTTATTAGATTACTAAAATACATGTAGCTTATATTAGGGGAGGTAATTGAATCATGTTATTAGATTACTATAATACATGCAGCTTATATCAGGGGAGGTAATTGAATCATGTTGTAAGATTATTATGATACATGCAGCTAATATCAGGGAAGGTAATTGAATCATGTTATTAGATTACTATAATACATGCAACTTATATCAGGGGAGGTAATTAAATACAAATAATACACTATACTTTTTAAAGGAATGTATAAATAACACACAAAGCATAATTGTTACAATGCCTGCACTACATGATTATAGTCAATTGTTTATTATATAGTCAAAGTTTTTATTATATTCTGTATATTTTCAGGTACACAGCGCCCTATACGTCGTACAGTATTACCCTCCTCTAGTCCACTAGCAAAAGGAATCACTTGGCAATGGGAGGGGGATGCTCTAGGATCCTGGTGTGATTTTGACATTGAGATTATCAACTTTCTCGATGAATGTTACGTTAAAGGACAAACATTCATTGATTTATCAAAATCTAAATTTGTATTACCGTATCATATTGATCTGAGTACAATGACGCAGAAAAGAATCGAAACGGGACGTGTAAGAAATATACAGCGAACTTTTACGTCAGTGTCATACCCTGCAGAGTCAGGTGTGCCATTAAGTACTGGTACAAAAAGGCAATCTGCTGGTAGTACTGGTAAAAGTAGCGCCTCTGCTAAGAGGTCAAGGTCATCTACTGTGTCAACTGGAGCAGTCATTACTACTAACACATTATCCACTGTACCGGCAATGACTGTAAACAACAGTGTCAATTTATTACAACATTCAGTGAATTCTAATCCATTGTCAATAAATGCGCATCTTCCTAATCCATTTAGCCACAGTCATCAAGGCCCTATAACGCGTAGAAGATATATCCAGTCCCAGTCTACTCTCAGCCAGCAGAACCAGTCCAGCAGTTTGGTGCCGCCTCCAAACCAGTCCATTCCGGTTACAATTGCTTCAACTTATTCCGCATTACCTCCACATTCTACATCAATACCACAGACTTGTTCCTCTTTTATGACATTTTCAAGTTTCCAGACAAGTATGTTTGGTAGCCAAGGATCCGGAAATGTTGGTATGACACCGATATTCGGAGGGAGTCACATGCCAGGTTTCAACTTTCATCAACCCAGTACAGGCAGTTCATCTCAACCAGGTCATTTTCTTCCTGGGTAAGTAGATTATTTTCTTAATGTTTCTCTGTTGTTTTGTACAATATAGGTTTGTGAAATATAGGAGAAAAGTCCAGTTTTGGTAAAAATGTTTTGATCTTTATCCTATGGTTTATTTTTAAAATCATGATTCAAGTTTTATGATCTGTGAAAGCAGCTTTTCTTACAAACAATAAATTTCATGACACACTTTATTGCAGTGTGCCATGAAAAAACATCCCAGGCTTAGTTGAATGTCTTAACCTTGCATTTTAACAAAATGTTTGAAAATGTTGCTATTGGTATGGCTGTTTTCTCATAAAAGAGACAGATGCTAAAAATATTGAATTAAACAATATAAATTTTATAAAATTCATTTCTGAAGGAAAGAGAAATATACATGATGATGTGATGTCAATAATAATGTTACATACATTTATCTTAAAAATTAATCTTTGTTCAAACATTAGGGATTGGAAACATCTAAAAGTCCCTATCCTATTTTGTATATCTGAGTTTAATCATATTAAAGATGATAATGTGTCCAAATGATGTTGGCAAAACTTGTGACCCTCGGCTGGCCCAAAACTAGATTTTCAGGAAAAAGTCCCTATCTTAATTGCCTATCTAAGTTAAATCATGAAATGATAATGTAACATTTGCAAGCGTAACTTCTGCTGGTCCAAAACTAGACTTTCAGAAAATGTTCCCTTTATAGTATGGGATAGATTTGAATCATTCATTTGACCTAGCTGGAAACTTTATAATATAAATGCATATATCTGGGATAATTAGTAAGTACATTAAATTATAGCTAGGGTCCATTTGATACACCATAATATGAATCTGGGACTGCTTAGTGTAACAAACACCAGTATTGACGTCATAATGAGGAAAAATGGTTTTAAACCTACATGTAGTTGTATTAAGGCTTAAACTTGTCTCTGTGGGTTGAGAGGCAGACATGTTAAGTACTGGTACTACATGTAAGCCAACATGCTGTAAACATGACTGTTTTAGATAGCCTAGTAATTTTACAATTTAACTGAGTTACATGTATATTATAAATGAGACAGTTAACAATTTAAGTAATACTCATTGATACTCTAGGTAAAGCATTGAATTTGCAAATTAGTTGAAGAAATTTTGTTACACATATACAATGTATACATGTATTTATGTGAACACTGCAAGTTTAATTTTGTGAGGTGTTAGTATTATTACTAATGTTTTTTTATACGCCCGTTTGAAAAACGGGATGTATTATGGGAACGCCCCTGGTGGGCGGGCGGTGGGGCGGGCGGCGTCCAATTTTGTCCTGAGCATATCTCCTACATGTATGGAGGGATTTTAATGAAACTTAGTAGAAATGTTCACCACTATGAGGAGCAGTGTCGCGCACATGAACCAGGTCTCTAGGTCAAAGGTCAAGGTCACACTTAGAGCTCATTGAAAAATGCTTGTCCGGAGCAAAACTTCCACATGTATAGAGGGATTTCAATATTACTTGGCACAAATGTTCACCATTGTGAGGCGGAGTGTCGCGCGCAAAATTCAGGTCTTGCAGCCAAGGTCAAGGTCACACATAGAGGTCAAAGTTCAGATAAAAATATGAAGATGTGTATATGGACCATATAGTCATCATTATGTCTCCCCCACCTCGGGGGGAGACATATTGTTTTTGCCCTGTCCGTCCGTCAGTCCGTCCGTCCGTCCGTCAGTCCGTCCGTCCATTCTTCGTTTCCGGACGATAACTAGAGTTCCTTTTGACCTACAGCTCTCAAACTTCATAGGATGAATGGTCTTATTGAGCAGATGATCCCTATTGTTTTTGGGGTCAGTAGTTCAAAGGTCAAGGTCACAGTGACCGTTGGTCAATTTCTCGTTTCCGGATGATAACTAGAGTTCCTTTTGACCTACAGCCCTCAAACTTCATAGGATGATTGGTCTTATAGAGCTGATGATCCCTATTGTTTTTGGGGTCAGTAGGTCAAAGGTCAAGGTCACACTGACCGTTGGTCAATTTCTCGTTTCCGGATGATAACTAGAGTTCCTTTAGACCTACAGACCTCAAACTTCATAGGATGATTGGTCTTATTGAGCAGATGATCCCTATTGTTTTTGGGGTCAGTAGTTCAAAGGTCAAGGTCACAGTGACCGTTGGTCAATTTCTCGTTTCCGGATGATAACTAGAGTTCCTTTTGACCTACAGCCCTCAAACTTCATAGGATGATTGGTCTTATAGAGCAGATGATCCCTATTGTTTTTGGGGTCAGTAGGTCAAAGGTCAAGGTCACAGTGACCGTTGGTCAATTTCTCCATTTCCATTCCTGTTTCCATTCACAGTTATTCTCAGCAGTGGGGGAGACATGCGCTTTTTTACAAAAGCATCCTTTAGTTTATTGAGGGATTGTAACATAAATGGTCATTATCAAGACTATGGCTGTGATTCATATAATTTAGGTCAATATATACAAGGTCAAGGTCACTAAAGATGATGAAATATCCAGATTTTGTCCGGAGCATCTCTCCTACATGTATTGAGAGATTTTAATGAAACTTCATAGAAATGTTCACCACTATGAGGAGCAGTGTCGCGCACATGAACTAGGTCTCTAGGTCAAAGGTCAAGGTCACACTTAGAGTTCATTGAAAAATGCTTGTCCGGAGCAAAACTTCCACATGTTTAGAGGGATTTCAATATTACTTGGCACAAATGTTCACCATTGTGAGGGGGAGTGTGGCGCGCAAGATTCAGGTCCTTACGGCCAAGGTCAAGGTCACACATAGAGGTCAAAGTTCAGATAAAAATATGAAGATGTGTATATGGACCATTTAGTCATCATTTATTGAGGGATTGTAACACAAATGATCATTATCAAGACTATGGCTGTGATACATATAATTTAGGTCAATATATACAAGGTCAAGGTCACTAAATGATGAAATATCCAGATTTTGTCCGGAGCATATCTCCTACATGTATGGAGGGATTTTAATGAAACTTCATAGAAATGTTTACCATTATGAGGAGCAGTGTGGCGCACATGAACCAGGTCTTTAGGTCAAAGGTCAAGGTCACACTTAGAGCTCATTGAAAAATGCTTGTCCGGAGCAAAACTTCCACATGTATAGAGGGATTTCAATATTACTTGGCACAAATGTTCACCATTGTGAGGCGGAGTGTTGCGCGCAAGATTCAGGTCCTTGCGGCCAAGGTCAAGGTCACACATAGAGGTCAAAGTTCAGATAAAAATATTAAGATGTGTATATGGACCATTTAGTCATCATTTATTGAGGGATTGTAACACAAATGGTCATTATCAAGACTATGGCTGTGATACATATAATTTAGGTCAATATATACAAGGTCAAGGTCACTAAAGATGATGAAATATCCAGATTTTGTCCGGAGCATATCTCCTACATGCATGGAGGGATTTTAATGAAATTTCATAGAAATTTTCACCATTATGAGAAGCCATGTCAGCACATGAACTAGGTCTCTAGGTCAAAGGTCAAGGTCACACTTAGAGCTCATTGAAAAACGCTTGTCCGGAGCAAAACTTCCACATGCATAGAGGGATTTCAATATAACTTGGCACAAATGTATACCATTGTGAGGCGGAGTGTCGCGCACAAAATTCAGGTCCCTGCAGCCAAGGTCAAGGCCACACATAGAGGTCAAAGTTTAGATAAAAATATGAAGATGTGTATAGGGACGATTTAATCTTCATTTATTGAGGGATTGTAACACAAATGGTCATTATCATGACTACGGCTATGACACATGTACTTTAGGTCAATATATGCAAGGTCAAGGTCACTAAAGATGGTGAAATATCCAGATTTTGTCTGGAGCATATCTCCTACATGTATGGAAGAATTTTTATAATACTTTATGGAAATGTTCACCACCATGATATGTATTGCTCCATGCATGATCCAGGTCTCCAGGTCAAAGGTCAAGGTCACACTTAGAGCTCATTGAAAAACGCTTGTCTGGAGCAAAACTTCTACATAATTCATAGGGGGATTTCAATATAACTTGGCACAAATGTTCACCATTGTGAGGCTGAGTGTCGCACACAAAATTCAGATCCCTGCGACCAAAGTCAAGGTTACACATAGAGGTCAAAGTTCAGATAAAATTTGAAGATGTGTATAGGGACCATTTAGTCATCATTTATTGATGGATTGTAGCACAAATGGTAACCGAAAAATTTCGGCGGAGGATATAGAAATAGTCTCCGTCCGTCCGTCCTTCCGTCCGTCCTTCCGTCCGACATTTTTGTCCGGAGCATATCTCTAAAAGTATTTGAGTTATCAACTTGAAACTTCATAGGTGGATAGACCTCATTGAGGAGGAGTGCAGTGCACAAGAATGATAACTCTACCTTGCATGATTTTTGAGTTATTGCCCTTTGTTATTTTTCAAAATTGATTTTTGTCCAGAGCATAATTCCAAAAGCCTATGAGATATTAGCATGAAACTTCATAGGTGCATAGATCTCACTCAGGAGGTGTGCAGTGCACAAGAATGATAACTCTACCTTTCATAATTTTTGAGTTATTGCCCTTTGTTATTTTTCATACCTAATTTTTCACCTGAGTGGAGCATAACTCAAAAAGTGTTTGAGATATCAACATGAAATGTCATAGGTGGATAGATCTTATTGAGGAGGAATGTTGTGCGCAAGAATGATAACTCTTCCCTATACAATTTTTGAGTTATTGCCCTTTGTTTTTTTTATGCTATTTTGTCCAAGCTTATCTCAAAAAGTATTTGAGGTATCAACTTGAAACTTCAAAGGTGGATGGATCTCATTGAGGAGGAGTGCAGTGCTTAAGAATGATAACTATACCCTGCATTATTTTTGAGTTATTGCCCTTTGTTATTTTCCAAAATTAATTTTTGTCCAGAGCATAACTCAAAAAGCCTTTGAGATATCAAAATGAAACTTCATAGGTGCATAGATCTCACTCAGGAGGTGTGCACTGCACAAGAATGATAACTCTACCTTTTATAATTTTTGAGTTATTGCCCTTTGTTCTTTTTCATACTTAATTTTTCAATTCAATTTTGTTATTTTCAGCCATCAGTATTCACATAGGTTTCAAATCTGTAATCATTATAGCCATCAGTTTTCATTACCAAAAGACTTCTTAAAATGGAATTATTCCGCTCTACTACATATACATTCTTCCAATGAGCAAACACATTCGGCGGGGGATGGCCATGTTGACATGGCTCTTGTGACTACAGGTGTGACACATTTAATTTAGGTTAATATTTGCAAGGTCAAGGTCACTGGAGATGATTAAATATCCAGATGTTGTCCGGAGCATATTTTCTACATGCATGGAGGAATTTTAATGTTACTTTATAGAATTGTTCACCACCATGAGACGTAGTGCCCTGCACATGAACCAAGTCTCTAGGTCAAAGGTGAAGGTCACAGTTTGAGCTCATAGCAAAACGCTTGTCTGAAGCAAAACTTCTACATGCATAGAGGGATTTCAATATAATTTGGCACAAATGTTCATCATTGTGAGGCTGAGTGCCGTGCATAAAATTCAGGTCCCTGCGACCAAGGTCAAGGTCACACATCCTGTGCATATCTTCCCTACTGATTTGTTTTAAGGTTCATTTAACAACACAGTGCCAAGGATAAAAACTTGCTTGCTAGATAACACTTATCCATAATGCCCCCATCTCCATCTTAAGCTTTCGTAAACGGGCGTATTTTGTGACTATGGCACCCTTGTTTAACTTGAACTCATGACAGAATATAAAAGCCAGTGTTCATGAATTATTCATAGTTTGTGTTCTAAACAGAGAGAACTCCAAAGTGTCGATTTGTTGTCAGATTTTTCGTTGCAGTGATTTCTCAGCATTCTACAGTATTGATTATTGTCCATTATAGTTTAAATTGTTACATTTTTGTATGATTTATTGCGAGTTGATGTATAAGATGTCTGGATACATTATACTGTAGATTAGGGCTGTTTTAGGGTAAATTTTTTATTTTCACTTCATTTGAGAAACACATATATAAGCTCAGTCATTGTAACCGAATTGTAAATTATTTTTTTTACCATGGTCAAACTGATACTGTTCTAATTATTACATACCATTAAAGTGAGATAACAGGGCAGTGGTTTTTCTCACTTAATTGGGAACAGGCATTGGCTTCTTGATTTTTGGAAAAATTATCCCTGAAATTGCTTATTTGGGAAGTAAAAAAAGCTTGAGTAAAATCAGATTTTTGGGAAATTGCATGATCGTAAATGAAATTTTAATTGGGAGGATGGCAAAAATTATTCCTAAATTTGCTTATTTAGGAAGTAAAAAAGCTTGGGTAAGTTCAGACTTTTGGGAAAACTGCATGATTCTAAAGAAAATTTTAATTGGAAAGAGGCCTTTCATATATAGGCTTCTGTTACATAGGGAGCAATGTCACTCATTATGAAATAATAATAAAGATCATGTAAATATAAATGAGCCACGTCACGACAAAACCAACATAATGGGTTTGCGACCAGCATGGATCCAGACCAGCGCAGGCTGATCAGGATCCATGCTGTTCGCTTACAACTCTAGTTACAGTAGAGAAACTGATAGGGAACAGCATAGATCCTGATCAGACTGCGCAGATGCGCAGACTAGTCTGGATCCATGCTGGTAGCAAACCCATAATGTTGGTTTTGTCATGACGCGGCTCAAATATAATATTACAGTGCATGTAGTGACTCCATGCTCTGTGACGTGAAAATATTTACAAGCCATAAAAAAGAGATAATCTTCAATTGACATGCTTTAGCCTGGAAGAATATGTATTTTGATGTGATGGGCTGCTACAATTGATTTTATAAGGCCTATATTGATCTAGTATATCTCGTATAATAATCCTCAATACAGGAGAAATCTTTGATCTATACCAGGCTAGCATCTCATTCTCCCAATACAAGACATGATAATAGCCTCTTATCCGAATTATTCTTCACAAATAATACAACTGCATATTGTTTATGAATTCTGAAACTTGGATTTTTGAAGTATATAAACAAAATTGGTGGTAAAATTCGTTCATTCATGAGTAATGTGTTAGGAAATTACATTTAATTGTACAACAGTGTAAATTTGGAGATGAAACCTTTTCTTATGAAGTGGGTGAAAGGGTGTTTTAACAGGATCTTAGCCATATACACAATGTACATGTATAATGATACAATAGTGACATTGTGATCTATTGTATTGACAAATCATAACATCTCATGAAAATTTTGTGTCCTAGAAATTCATATTATAAAATCCACTCGGAGTCACACTTCATGTGATTTCTCGATACTCTAAGGATTTTGCATATTCCTCGTTATTTATACTGTGGTTAAGTATTGGATATAAGAGCTATTTATAATATTGTACATTAAAGTGTCTTTAAGCAACAAAGCGGAAAAAATACTCATGTTAAATAAGGGATGGTTAAGGTAAGTTTTTTCAAAGTACCGGTATTAATAATTGTGATGATCTTGTAATGATCAAAATTAATTTAATGTTTAAAATTTAAATTAAGTTTTTTTTTCAAATTTTCAGCAGTGTAAAATACATTATATATAGTAGAAAGTAAGAGAATTAATATTCTTTAAATGATTTTGTCTTAAATAGATTATAGGTATCTTCAATTGTACTTTCTTGTTTTACCAGAATAAACAACAACAACAGTCATATTAGAATCTGAATGTAAACTAAATGAATTATAATAAGTCACATTTTTCTCACTAATCTTTATCTTGGTCTATTTATTATTATAATAGAGAAACCTATCCTTAATTTGATAGGCTGGTGTCTATGTGTCCATGTCAACATGACGTCTTGGTATATTGGTACATTGTACCACCAACCCCTCACCCTTGTGGGTTCGAATCCTGACAGGGACTTTGGATTCTTTCATGTGAGGAAGCTATCCAGCTAGCTTACGGAACATCGTTGGTTCTACTCAGGTGCCCTTTCGTCCTCCACCAGTAAAGCTGGAACGTCGCCAAATGACCTATACTGTGTCGGTGTGACGTAAAACCCAATCAAACAAACAAAACCATCAACCCCTCTCTTTTATAGAACACATTGTCATTCTGTTATGCTTTGAAGCATATAACACTTGTGATTGACCATCTTTTTCACTGAAAGAAAAAAAAAACAACATATAATTCTTTTGTGGATTTTCTTATGGAATGCCAATCTATCTTTCTTTTAGTTTGTACAGATGTATCACATCACATCCACTGAAACCATTGAAATAATTATAATTGCTTCAATACATGGAATACTTATTCATGACGTAAGAATCATATTCATGTGTATGTAAGGGTATATAATTCTGTCATGGATTTTGACAAAATTATATTCCTAATTTTGATTTACAAGTTTTTAAAGAGTATGTTTCTAAATTCTATTTCTCGCAGCCAAGTATTGAGTATTGACTTTCAAGAGAGCTTGTTCTTCTTTTAAAATATTTTTTTTTAAATTTGTTTCAGGAACTTGAACCCGGCTTTACTATTTTCTAGTGGCAGACAAGGGAGAGTAAGACCATCTCCAGGTAACTTATTCTAGGTTATTTATATACATGAATGGTTATACTTTACCATAACCATGCTCAATATCTGTAACGGATTTGCCCGACTTTCTTTCTGGATCAAAACATTTATCAATTTTAGGGAAATTTTCAAAACGTTCCTGGCTGAATAATGAACAGTAAAGACTTTGTTACTAAAAATAGCAAGTCACGTTGATATTTTACTTGCTTTTTATACGCCCGTTTGAAAAATGGGACGTATTATGGGAACACCCCTGGCGGGCGGGCGGGCGGGGTGTCCAATTTTGTCCGGAGCATATCTCCTACATGTATGGAGGGATTTTAATGAAACTTCATAGAAATGTTCACCACTATGAGGAGCAGTGTCGCGCACATGAACAAGGTCTCTAGGTCAAAGGTCAAGGTCACACTTAGAGCTCATTGAAAAATGCTTGTCCGGAGCAAAACTTCCACATGTATAGAGGGATTTCAATATTACTTGGCACAAATGTTCACCATTGTGAGGCGGAGTGTCGCGCGCAAGATTCAGGTCCTTGCGGCCAAGGTCAAGGTCACACATAGAGGTCAAAGTTCAGATAAAAATATGAAGATGTGTATATGGACCATTTAGTCATCATTTATTGAGGGATTGTAACACAAATGGTCATTATCAAGACTATGGCTGTGATACATATAATTTAGGTCAATATATACAAGGTCAAGGTCACTAAAGATGATGAAATATCCAGATTTTGTCCGGAGCATATCTCCTACACGCATGGAGGGATTTTAATGAAATTTCATAGAAATGTTCACCATTATGAGAAGCCATGTCACGCACATGAACTAGGTCTCTAGGTCAAAGGTCAAGGTCACACTTAGAGCTCATTGAAAAACGCTTGTCCGGAGCAAAAGTTCCACATGCATAGAGGGATTTCAATATAACTTGGCACAAATGTTCACCATTGTGAGGCGGAGTGTGGCGCTTAAAATTCAGGTCCCTGCAGCCAAGGTCAAGGTCACACATAGAGGTCAAAGTTTAGATAAAAATATAAAGATGTGTATAGGGATGATTTAATCATCATTTATTGAGGGATTGTAACACAAATGGTCATTATCATGACTACGGCTGTGACACATGTACTTTAGGTCAATATATGCAAGGTCAAGGTCACTAAAGATGGTGAAATATCCAGATTTTGTCTGGAGCATATCTCCTACATGTATGGAAGAATTTTTATAATACTTTATGGAAATGTTCACCACCATGATATGTATTGCTCCATGCATGATCCAGGTCTCCAGGTCAAAGGTCAAGGTCACACTTAGAGCTCATTGAAAAACGCTTGTCCGGAGCAAAACTTCTACATTCTTAGGGGGATTTCAATATAACTTGGCACAAATGTTCACCATTGTGAGGCTGAGTGTCGCACGCAAAATTCAGATTCCTGCGACCAAAGTCAAGGTTACACATAGAGGTCAAAGTTCAGATAAAAATTTGAAGATGTGTATAGGGACCATTTAGTCATCATTTATTGATGGATTGTAGCACAAATGGTAACTGTCATGACTACAGGTGTGACACATTTAATTTAGGTTAATATTTGCAAGGTCAAGGTCACTGGAGATGATTAAATATCCAGATGTTGTCCGGAGCATATTTTCTACATGCATGGAGGAATTTTAATGTTACTTTATAGAATTGTTCACCACCATGAGAAGTAGTGCCCTGCACATGAACCAAGTCTCTAGGTCAAAGGTGAAGGTCACAGTTAGAGCTCATAGAAAAACGCTTGTCTGGAGCAAAACTTCTACATGCATAGAGGGATTTCAATATAATTTGGCACAAATGTTCATCATTGTGAGACTGAGTGCCGTGCATAAAATTCAGGTCCCTGCGACCAAGGTCAAGGTCACACATCCTGTGCATATCTTCCCTACTGATTTGTTTTAAGGTTCATTTAACAACAAAGTGCCAAGAATAAAAACTTGCTTGCTAGATAACACTTATCCATAATGCCCCCATCTCCATCTAAAGCTTTCGTAAACGGGCGTATTTTGTGACTATGGCACCCTTGTTCATAACATAGTTTTGCACTATTTCATATGAGCATTTCACTAAAACTTTGTTGTTTAGTTTCTGATGTTGATTTGCCAAACAGAAGCACATGAAAAATTGCTAGATTGGAACCCAGTATACTAAAAATTAAATAGACACAATGCTTTAACTTGTATGTATAGTAACATTTATCTTTATTAACAATAAACCAATATTTTACAGGAGCCAGTGGAAGTTCAATTCAACCCTCCTATGATAGAATACCGAACCTTGCCCCTAAACCTGGCAAAAGAAGCAATAAAACTAGTATGTCTTTTGTTGTAGTTAAATTTTAAATATCATTCAAATTTTTCCTCGAGGTTAAAAGACCTGGCCTCGAGGTTATAAAACTGTTTTCTGAGTTTTATCTCAAATCTCAGGATTTTCATTGGACAGTGTACACACTGTGACAGTTTCTGACCAATCAATCACCCGAGATTGGAGTTTGAGCTCAGCTTGTAAAATTTCTTTATAACCATGGGCCCCGGTCTTATCACAAAACAATAAGCTTTATGGTCACTTTGAAATACTTGTATGAAAATGTAATTAGAGAAATAATTATAATTCAAATTTATTGTATGAAAATATAATTGAAGAAAATATATATATCATTGAAATTTACTTTCTGAAAATATATAAAATGTAATTAAAGAAATACTATTATTGAAATTTACTGTATGAAAATATAATTGAAAGAAATATTAAGATTGAAAGTTACCGTAAGAAAATATAATTCAAGAAATATTGTAATTAAACTTTTCAGTCATGAAACTTTACAAGAAATTGTAAACATGCTAAATCACATGACATAGATAATTACCATGGTGTAGCGCAACTAGTGCTCACACAAAATTTTTTGCTAATGTCGGACCACATGTTGGTAGACCACATGGTTTCCGCTGATTATCTTGAAAAGTATTTATCATAAAGTCTTCATATTTCACAGTAATTGAACTTAATAAGTAGTTGACACCTATTGATTTTGGGGTCACTAGGTCAAAGATCAAGGTCACAGGGCGTTAAATGTCTTAAAACTATATGAGGTAAAAAACTGCATGGCTGGCACTGGCCGCATGGGTACTGTAGACTCGAGTGATACTTAGAAGGCTAATCGTTAACCAGAAAATAAGTATTATTACTATAAAACTATTATTTATACAATTTGTCATCTAAAGTTTTATAATTTTTAAGATTATATGTTTCAGCATCTTCAGGTGAAGATATCTTACATGATTATGTTGAAATACTGAATTCACCACCAGCGGATGATGTAAGTTTATAACTACATTTATATATTATATTTAACAGAAAATCTGATAGTATGAAAAATGAAGTTTATAAATAAATTATGTAGAAAAAAAATATTGGGGTAAGAGGATCATTATGTGCTATATATAATTATTTGATAGTCTAAAACAAAAAAACAATTTAGATTAATATTATACAGTTATTGTACGATGATGATGAGGTTAATATCCATGTCTATGGACGTAGCAAATATGATATTCACCGAAACATGGATATTCACTGAAATCTTCAAAAAATTTATTATAACTGTTTTATTATATGACAAAAATAAAATTCTTTATTTGGTAAATTTTCAAAGTTGACCAATTTCCTTTTGTCATGCAAATAAACCATAAGTAAGAGTAAGCAAAGACCAGAAGTTATTTCCTTGCTTTCAGCATTTAAGTTCCTTTCTAAATCATATAAATTATAAGAATGCATTAAATTATCATTGTTTTTTTGACAGAAAAAATGCTGGCTGAATCTGTTATTAATACATGATATTAATTGCTTTGGATTGATCAGCTAATACCCTTTAATATCCAATAATGCCATTAATGATTGGTTTCCAATAATAGACGACTACTAAATTTAGTGCAAAGCTTGACAATGTGACATTGTTTGTTGATAACAGTATCCTCTTCAGTCAAGGTCATTGTTATTTGCTTTTGACTGACAATCACAACATGGAAAATGTTAGTTATATAATAATATACATTGTACATGGTAAAGATTGTTGGATTCTACACAGGTCATATAGCCCAGTATTATAAATACTGCACATTTGTAACGTTGCTTTTCATTGGATAATCGTGATGTTTCTTTAGTTTTATATACACGGCTGCTTTCAATTTATCATGACATCTCACTTCTCTAAAAAAGGAAGTTTGCTATATTGTAATTTTGTTATAAATATTCCTGACAGACTATATGACTGTATATAAATTGGTTGTTTGCAATATAACCTGAACCGCTATTTCCAAACAAATGTTTATATAGGGCTGTATAACCTTTCAAAAATCATTGAAACTAATAATAATATGGTTATAAGATAACAGCTATATCAGACTATAGTTAATGTTGTACTATTACAGCCTGTAGTAAATGTTAGACTATTTCTAATAGCAGTATTTGTAAATGTTTGATTATTACTGACAATAGAAAATATTGGAATATTACTGAAGCAAATCTTTGACTATTGCAGGCTGTAGTAAAGGTGTTGTTGTTGTTTATATTGTGTGTCATGTATTTCAGGATTGCTGTATATGTTGTGAGAAGTTGATCGAGGCGTCGGGGCACGGGACAGGATCACCCGAGGATCATGTGGTTTACAAACTCAGCAAATGTAGTCACATGTTCCATAAACTATGTGTGACAGCCATGTATGATAGCGGTGCTAAGGTATATTTATATATATATGAGCCGCATCACGACAAAACCAACATAGTGTGTTTGCGACCAGCATGGATCCAGACCAGCCTGCGCATCCGTGCAGTCTGATCAGGATCCATGCTGTTCGCTATCAGTTTCTGTACTTGTAATAGGGTTGGTAAGGGAACAGCATGGATGCTGATCAGACTGCGCGGATGCGCAGGCTGGTCTGGATTCATGCTGGTCACAAACGCACTATGTTGGTTTTGTCATGACGCGGCTCTTTTCAGTTCATACTATATTATTAACTTGTACACGTATGTTATGAAAAATCTTTAATTAAATTAAGCATTCTTTCAAACTGCTTATGCAGACAATAAAATCTGTTAAAGTTATCCTAATGTTATTTAAATCTTGATTACTTCGATATCGTCTTTCTTGTACAGGAATGAACCATATGTGCGAGCAAAAAATTTTTTTCTATATGCATATTTCTATTATAATAAATTTGTTGTTGTTGCCAGCCTGGGCTCTAGCTACGTTTGTACAGCCCTTCCAATTATGTTAATTGGCCACAGTCACATTTTCTATTAAATTTAAGAGCTTAGACTATAACAAATGCTTAGTATAAAACTATATTTTATTGTAAATTAAATTATTTTGTTTAAAACAGCAAATAAATAACCAATATGATTGTAATATTGTAAAGTTTAGCAGGCTTATTCAAGTGTTAAGCATCTTTGGCCTACTTATCTATTATAAAGTCATCATAATTCTAACTATGTATCGTATTTTGTAATACGGTACAACTTTTGTAGAGAAACACCCACTGGTCCTTTTTGGAGACAAAGATTTTGGTTCCTGCAAAGAGGTGTTGCTTTATAAAAGTTATATTTATTGGGAGGACTAACTTTTTGAAAGAAAAAAAAGATACTGTTGTTGTTGAGAGGTGATTGCTCTATAAAGGGTTACTATGCACAGGTTATACTGAATATAATATAATGATTACAGGATGGTCATATGCAGTGTCCCACATGTAAGACTATATATGGTGAGAAGATGGGTAATTGTCCGCGTGGAGAGATGGAGTACAAGATTATAGATCATCATTTACCGGGCTACGAGGAACATCGTACCATACAGATAATGTACAGTATCAACAGCGGTACACAGGTACGTACAATATAAGTGTCATGTTGTGTTTACTGTACTTACATTTAATAGGCTTAAAGCAAATCAGCAGAGGAGTTCAACTTTTATTTGAATTTCATAAATGGACTTGATAGTAAAAAATAGGTAGTTAACTGCAAATTCTTAAAAATTCCCTTCAGTATACCAACGTTTCGGCTGAACAGCCTTCTTCAGAGAACATTAATGGACTTGTTCATGTCCCATTTTGTGGAACTGTCCATTACATGTATTAATTTTGGGAATATATAGATTGAACAAGGTTGAATTTTGAAAATCCTAGTCAGGGCTACTTCTCAAAATGTTACATGTTGCTTAATATTGACCAATTCAGTAAAGATTTAATGTATTTACCATATCAATAATTGAACATTGTCAATGTTTGTATTTTTGCAGGGACCTGAGCATCCAAACCCTGGTAAGAAGTATTCAACTCGAGGATTTCCTAGGATAGGATATTTACCTGACTGTGATAAAGGTAGAAAGGTAAGAAATAGGGATAAAAAAAAATCAAAACATATTATTCTAGACATTTAGTGTAGTACTATCCCTCCTTAAAAATGGTTTTATGCCCCATTAAATTCTTCAAGATTTGGACTGATAATGATTGATGAAAACCAGCATGTGCTTTGGATCAATAAGCTATTCAGCTGTTAAATGGATGGTCTATGGTTTGAATCAGGTGTTGACCAGCAGCTGAAATAATGTGTACATGTTTGTTTGTTTGATTGGATTTTAAGTCACACAGACACAGTATAGGTCATATGGCGATCAACTTACTGGTGGAGGAAGACCTTAGGTGCCCTTTCATGCATTATTTCAATTATTTTAATAATGATCAAAATAATTGTACATATAAATGTTTCGCACTAGTGAATTGTAATCGTTTTACATTCTAGGTGCTTCAGTTGTTAATTATAGCATGGAAAAGACGTCTGACATTTACAATTGGGCATTCTACGACTACCGGTGAAGATAATACTGTAACTTGGAACGAGATACATCATAAAACTGAACTCGGCTCAAATTATTCCGGTCACGGTTATCCGGACCCAAAATATCTTGATAATGTTTTAAACGAACTAGCAGTACATGGAATCACGGAAAAAGATTTACCTTCTGGTTGAGAGGTCATGAATTCCGAGATATTTCAACACTTCCGAGATTTTATCCACATGGATTTTTGGTGATATTAAATATTTCACAATCAAGACTATGTTACTAGTTACTATGGTACCAGTAACTTTGATAAAAGCTTGTGTTTTGTAAAGACAACCTGAGTCTTTCATGTGAACTTTAGAATAGATTTTTGAACATTTACTTTGGTAATATATTAAATGTTTTCCAACATCTGCATTCTTTTAATGTTTAAAATGTCATAGGACTGTTCACTGAAGTCAATATTTCTATGAGCCCCTGTTATCTATTTTAGAGGTCATGTTGTTTTGATATACACATTAGTTGATTTTGTTGTTCATTTTTTGTGAGGTTTGCCACCGATTATAGGTGCCGAGTCTATTTTTCAGATAATGATTTATTTCAGTTTTCTGTTATCAATATGCAGATTAAGAATTGATATCCATGCTTAGGTTAGTTTATGATCTGTCAGTAGATGTTAATTTTATATTTTTATGTTTAAACTGATATACATAACTAGATTATAAGCTAATTTGTGGTGTATATGTCATTGCGCCGCGTCATGACAAAACCAACATAATGGGTTTGCGACCAGCATGGATCCAGACCAGCCTGCGCATCCGAGCAGTCTGATCAGGATCCATGCTGTTCGCTTACAAACCCTTTTACAAGTAGAGAAACTGATAGCTAATAGCATGGATCCTGATCAGACTGCTCGGATGTGCAGTCTGGATCCATGATGGTCGCAAACGCATTACGTTGGTTTTCTCGTGACGCGGCTCAATTATGTTAAAGATTTTTTTTTAACAATAAGGTCCAAGTTAGAACATCTTTCAATGTAACCTTTACATGAGTACTTAGAGTTGATCACACCTGGAAACTCAATGTATAAAACAGTTTAGGCCATACCCTTGTGTTAAAAATGTGCGTTTCCTTTGCTTTAAATTAAAAATGGCTTATCATAATTTTATTTACGTATTTTGTTTACTTTTCTATCTTTATTTGATTAATACATTACAGTTTTTATTTTTTATTCAAAATATACATATTTTAGAAATATTAATCATTATTATTATAAGTTTACCTTTAGAAGAAACAGGTAGAGCTATATTTAGTAATTATGTCATTAGCTATATTTAGATATGATGTCAACAGCTATATTTTGTAATGATGTCAGTGCTAAAAAAACAAGTAAGACAGTAGGCCTACAGGATAAAACAGATTCGGATCTTTCCTGATAATTCCTATGAAAATTATTTTAAATAGAAATGATGCCCGTATTGAACAAACAAAACAATTTGAGCTAGTAAATAGCACAGACAAACAAAAAAACAAAAACAAAAGAAAAACACATGAATCTAACAACTGATGTGATTAAAAATGATCAAATTAAATCATTAAAAGATAATGATTGTAACAGGCATATTTTGGTTGCAATAGCTTCAGTGTTAGTATTGTTAATGTCTACATTAAAGGGAATCCACTGAGTTTTTTTTTCACATGATGGGACTGAAAATATTTTTTCCAGATAAATGTACCATTTGATGTAGGTTTAGACCACTAATCTGTGTTTAATATTCATTTTTCCAGAATATTTATTCAAATTGTAAAAAATGACCCAAAATGAAGTGTTTAAACGCTATTCACTCAAAATTGGCCACGAAAAGCATAAAAATGTGATTTTCAATTTATTTCAAGGTATATTATTTAACAATCTTTGCATATATTTCTGTTTAAAGTGCCCCAGCTCATTTATGTAGGAAAATAAAATGTTATGTTTTTAGGGTTTTAAACCTCAGTGGAGTCCCTTTAAGAATATTTGTGAAAATTGTTCATTGTTGTTAAAGATAAAGGACATCACATTCATTATCATATGATATATAGAGGATATTAAATGTGTGTAGGTTCAGTACAGAATTTATTCAAAAAGTTGAATAAAATTATAATATGCAAGAGTCTAGTGAGCATAATATAATTTTATTCAATGAGTTCAATAACTTTAATAATGAACCTACACAAATATAATATTTTATTTATCACATGTCCAAAGTAAGAACTGTTTACAGTAAAAAAAATCATTTTTTCATTGACACGTTTATAGTGTAACGTTATCATTTACGTTCATGCTATGTTTGTATAATGCAAATGACGTTACAAGACTATATATGCATAGCCATACAATACCAATGACTATATATGCATAGCCATACAATACCATTTTTAAGCAAAAGCGGCAGGGGTATGTGATAAAACAGTTTAATAACATAAATCCAAGAAATTGTTATGAAGTGTGCATTTGAAAAGTGAGCGAATTGAAAATTTGTTGTAATAATATAACAGGGAATGTGGGATTCTTTTTATGACATGAATAAATACATTGACATTAATGGAAAATAATTTTGTTTCAAGGTTTAATGTACACTGTTTGGATATAAAGAAATACATGTATATAATGGTTACATGACATGAGTAAACATGTGCTGTGTCATGTGATCAATTGGAACTGTTACAGTTGTTCATAAAATAGGATCTTATCCAGGTAGTATGTTCATTAATATTACGGAAAAGAAAATAAAAAAATACAAGTACATACTGGGTATGTTACAAACTTCATGTGCACATACTTCAGTATTGCTTGAATACTGATACTTTTTAAAAGACAACACAGCATTGGATTTTAAGTGAAATCCATGTTTAAATGTACTAAAATTATAGTGTTATTAAATGAGCGCCGCAAAGTTGGTATTGGATTCATTTATGTGAGGCAGCTATCAAGCTAGCATTTGGAAGGTTGGTGGGTCTACTCAGACGCCACATTCCACTCCAGTGCTCATGCCTGAAACAATGCAGGAAGTGGCATCTGAGATCTTCCACCAATAAAGCTGAAAATTGCCCTATGATATTTACAGTGTTCATGTCAATTAAATGAATGAATAAAAAATTAAATAAATAAAACGTTTTTTGAAAAATCACAAGGCTTCAATCACGACAGTGTATGTATATTTCAAGTATTGCGGTTGAAAAGTTTATTGATAAACAGTGTATGTATATTTCTAGTATTGCGGTTGAAAAGTTTATTGATAAACAGTGTATGTATATTTCTAGTATTGCGGTTGAAAATTTTATCGATAAACTTTGGGACTAACTTGTATTTGCATGTACTTAGAGGTTTTAGGTCAGTTTATATATAAATATTCTTTCAGTTTTTACATTTTATACAAAAAATCATTTTGGTTTTCTTTAGTTGTTAAAATTTTGGAATATTTGAGATGGTTCTCATAAAAATAAACAAAGTAATACTATATTTAGAGGTTGTTATCATTTGTTGCTGAGAATTCCAGGAATGTTTTATAGTTTTGTGGTAACTTTTATCTTTATCATTTTTTCTTTTAAATAATAAGGAATTGTCATGGTCCTCTGTTAGCCTAAGTTGAGGTCCTTATTCTTAGAAACTATGAAAGCTATTGTTCTTACAAGGGTCACTTTTTGGTTAAGTTTTTTTTGTGAAAGTTAGTATCTCCAAAACTACTGAAGGGAATGGTTTGAAACGTCACACATTTGAGAGCATGATAAGAGGTCAATGTCCAAGGCCCATAATTTTAACATGGATTTTGACAGAGTTATTGCCCTTTTTGAACTTTCTACATTATCCAGGTTCTTGTTTTACTATCAAGCACTGTGAATAGTCGATCACACTAACAGCACTTGTTTACTTTGAATATTTTCTTAAAAAACCATCACATATACACACACTTATAACTTGAAAAAAAATGTTCACTATAAAGGGCAGGCAATTCTGTCAAGGTTTTTTTTACTGAAGTATACCGCCTTTTCTGTTATGCTTTTATCACTCAGAAAAATGGAGCATGTTTTCCACAGACATCTTTTGTTATTTTACATGGTGGTAAAAATAAAATAAACGGATGTGACAACCAATGTATCAGTGAATACATGGAAGTATATTTCACTAGAGAGTTGATACTGAAGAAAGTTATAATGAAATTATCATGTTTATTTCATAAAAATTAATATTATAAGTATTAGAAATTATTAGTTGACTTAGAATTATCACAAATTGAGAAACACAGAACAAACAGTACAAAATATTCTGTGAAAAATACGAAACAAACGTGTTACAAATATTCTGTTGAAACACGGTATAAACAGTGCAAAATTTCGCGGGCTTAGTGCAAAAGGGTTGTAACCCATATGACAAAAAGATGACCTCACAACCCTTTCGCACCAAGCAGTCGAAATGTTCTGTGATAAACAACATACAATCAATACAAATATTTTGTGAGAAACATGGTACAAACAGTACAAATTAATGTTCTGTGAGAAACATGGTAAAAACAGTACATATATTCCGTGGGAAACATGGTACAGACAGTATATTTTTAGAGCAACAGGACACAAACAGTACATATATTTTGTGAAAAACAAACGTACAAACAGTATAATGAAATAGTACAAACGTCTAACACAAAATGAGAAACAGGATACATATAATTAACGTACAGTGACAAACAAGATACAAACATCATAAATATAGTATAATTTTCCTTGACACTGTATGTCTTTATCACTCGATGGAGTGTTAAACAGTTTAAAAGCAGATTTGTCAAGTTATTTTGACAACCGCTGTTTAGTATATAATCTCAAACATTCTGAAGGCTCAACATATATACTGAAATATTCACAATTCCTATGAGAGAGCGAACCTGTTAGATTCTGCAAGTCATGAAATTTACTGTCATGGTCATCCTTCGAAAAGTACATGAAGTAGCGAACGCTACATACTATATCGCAAGGTCAACCTGGTGCAATGAACACAAATGTAAGATGAGATCATGTTGAAATAGTCGATTGTTTTAAAAAAAAATCACTGGTGCACACACATATAGTCACGTGTTCACATAGCTAATTAGCATGCGCACGTGCTTTTTGTAGACTTCTTCTGTTCAAGTGCAACATTGTCCGATTGTTGTTTGGTCAAAATTTGATCATTGTTAAAAGATTCTATTACAAGTTCTAACATTCTGTTTATTACCGGCATCACACTTGTGTCTGTATCTCTACTTAATTCCATATAAGGTAACCCCTCACTTTCCGCGTATTTCGCCGCGCGCTCGAACGACACTTTCCTCTGCTCGTCCGTCACCTGACAGTTGGTACCAACCAAAATTACCGGGATATTTGTGTTTGAGGTGTAGTCTTTACAATCATGTAACCTGCAATGTAAATATATTGTTAAAGTAAGTCTGCACAAAATAGCTAAACAAGCGTATGTAAACTCTGGCACACGCAGATTAGAAAAAAAAAGAAAAAAGATTAAGTGTTGTGTACACATGCAGCCTGACTTGTGACACTGCGCCTAACTCCAATTTATTATTAGGGACAAGGTAATAATAAACCCTAGACAAATATCCGCTCTCATTGGTCGTAGGGTGTTCATGCAAGCCACTTCTATTCTCTCGAAATATGCTTAAGCTATAACATTCTAAAAACTTCTATTTCAGTGCAAAAATGAAACCACTGTATTGGCCTGGCCTTAAAAGGACGGCTCACTGCTCATTTTACTTCGACTCGCGCCTTGGCGTGGAAGATATATAGCCTCTATGTTCAAATCGTAAAGACGTTAAAAATTAAATTTACGCGGGATTGGTGTGATATAGGCTACATGAAAAATAAATTGCAATGCAAATGCATGTACTTAAACTTTTTTTCTACATTACCCACCAATAAGGTACGTTATTGAATGTGCTTTCACTTGTGACGTCAAAAAGTAATAGGCATCCATGGGCTCCTCTATAATATGACGTTGTCAGACTTCGGAACTTCTCCTGCCCTGTTAAATAAATAAGGATCATCATCATCATCATCATTTCAAATATACAAATACAGGGCTGGGAATCAAAACTGCGTCGTATCCTACAAAATGTAAACAAACGCCGCCATCTTGGAACGAAAAACGTATGTTTTTGTTTATAACTTTTTTTGTTGGAAATGACTGAAAACCAGATATATGTATTAACACGCTACACTATTTTCCGCTTCGTTCGGTATATGTTGCTTGCACAACTATTTTGTAAAACAAAAGTTATAGCGAACTTGCAACTCGAAGCGGGGCAGAATTTTTATGAAAATGTGTGGATACGACGCAGTTCATATTGCTTTATCTATCGTTTTTCCTTCAAATCAATTATATATTTGTTTCAGAGTTCACCATAAACTTCGAAATATAATTTTGCATCATTTACTAAAATTTCATTAAAAAGAGATGTTTATTTTCTAAGAAAATAATGATTTTTACGAAATGATACGACGCAGTTGAAAATAAAATATGATACGACGCAGTTGTATTTTTTGGCAGTCTTTTCAACAGGGATAATTTTGGCAATATATTTCTATTTTATAGAATAATCACTTGCGCTAGATAAAAAAACCCAGATCATTTGCGGTGTATAGCAATGTTCTGTTGCTTTTGATTATTTAGAATACATTGTGTCATGTCCAATATAACATTTAATTTGAAAGTTTACATTGCGGAAGCTAATTTTCAGTTAAACATGAACATGTCACCTAATTGATCATAATATCTGAAATAATTTCTTATATTTTCCTGTATGTTCAATATTATCCCTAATTTTTTTCGCAAAAAAAATGTAGAAATCTATTCACTTGAATTCATTTTGGCTAGCTACGCTCTAAGTTAACTGTGGTTCTGCATGTTCTGGGTAATGACTGCTTTTTGTGGGTTTTTTTCAAACTTTCACTCTACACATTAGCTTTACTAGGAGCGAGGACCTCAGGTGCGCCTTTGTGCATTATTTCAGGCAAAATGTTGCAACATTTTGAAACTACCTTGATAATTTTTCCACACGAAAGAATAAAAAGTCCCTGATGGTTTACGAATTCATAGCAGTTCAGTTCAAGTGATTTGAATTTAGTAAACATAAACAGCTCAGCCTCGGTCGGACACACCTTTCTGATTTGTTTTTTCAACAAAATTTGTTAACGTCAGCTGTATAAATAAGCAGCTTTTTTATTAACTTCTGGTGTGAATTTTAAGATTATAAATATTTGAATTAATTATAAAGAGAATAACATTTAGATTTCTTATTTCGGTATGACTTGCAGAGAAATTTTCAATGTAAACAGGGGGTAATCCTCTGTGCAAACTTTTGTTTAAGTTTTCAGGCAATTCGTTATCAAATAAAAATCACACTTTAGTATGAAGGTATGTTAAGATGCCATGTCTCTAGTCTGTTGAAAATTCGATGCGATAATCTGACCTAAATTTTCTGTTCAATATTGTGAAAACTTCTTCAATACTGTTGAAAGATCATGTCTGCCTATATCTGTATCAAATTTATCGGTACGCAGCGTAAAATACCTTTGCAAAACGGACACCTTCTTTACAAAATAATTTGTAGTTGTATCATATGTAACTCGATTTTGAAAATTTAATTTTTTTAATGGAGAAGAATGATACTTCAGTGCAAATATAGAAAATACATTCCGTAGATTTTTCCTCATCGGCGATAAAGAAATGCAATACGACAAAATCAGCGGTAAAGTTCCGCGGCGCTGAACATAAAATGACTAAACGGAACGCATAACCTACTTGCAAAAATAGATTGTAGCTTAACCATTTATAATATAATTTTAAAAATTTAATGTTCAGTTTCAAATAATAAAGCTCATCTGTTCTCACCGATTATTAAGAAAATGAATACAATAAAATCGGCACGTAAAAGACATAAGTAATAACGGAATTGACGGAAATTATTGCTAATTACAAGTAACAAAGGTAGGCATGCAATTCGCGCATAGCTCTCTCCCGATAGCAAGAGACCTTTTCAAAATTTGTAATTCTTTCTTTTTTTTCTTTTCTTTTTTAAAAGGTCATTCCTGATTAATTCAGGGTCCAGGAGAGGTTACACTGGAATATTGAATTTTGCATCAAAAATAGTAATCACTCCCATTTCGAACTCACGGGAACAATTTTAGAAGCATGCTAAGGCAACACTGGAACACTTTGTCATATTGGTGTGCGATCATGTGTTTCAATGTATATTGCATTTGATACAGCTTTTCGGAATTTGTAGATGCTTATGATAGGTACTAAAATGCGACCGAAAAATGCAGCCTTAATAGAATTGTATTACATTTCCATTTTTATGGAACCAATGAGTGACCTCTGCTTTTGTCTTAAGTTGTAAACAAGAAATGTTGTTGGACGTTATTAGCATACCTAGCACATAATTTAAATAGTTTAACCAATATGCAGCCTGCAATGAAAATACAACTGCGTCGTATCATATTTTATTTTCAACTGCGTCGTATCATTTCGTAAAAATCATTTTTTCATGGAAAATAAACACCTCTTATTAATGAAATTTTAGTAAATGATGCAAAATTATGTTTTGAAGTTTATAGTGAACTCTGAAACAAATATATAATTGATTTGATGGAAAGACGATAGATAAAGCAATATGAACTGCGTCGTATCCACACATTTTCATAAAAATTCTGCCCCGCTTCGAGTTGCAAGTTCGCTATAACTTTTGTTTTACAAAATAGTTGTGCAAGCAACATATACCGAACGAAGCGGAAAATAGTGTAGCGTGTTAATACATATATCTGGTTTTCAGTCATTTCCAACAAAAAAAGTTATAAACAAAAACATACGTTTTTCGTTCCAAGATGGCGGCGTTTGTTTACATTTTGTAGGATACGACGCAGTTTTGATTCCCAGCCCTGCTGCATTATAATTAACTTTTATAATTAACAGACAACGGGACTTATTTATTAATTGATACACATATCAGTGCCAATCTGATCAAAACATTAGCTGATCTTAACTTCAGTCAGCATAGTAAAAATAGATATAAATTTTTTTTGGCTTTTACTGAAGTTTCAATGTATCGTGATACGTATACCATCGCAACATAAATATCGTTAAATATAAAATCGCGATACAGTTCAACATTAATCGCGATACATTTCAACCTAAAATGTACACTTAATTGATATAAACCAAACAATTTTACAAAAAAAAAAAAAAAAAAAATAACGAAAATTGAAAGTGGTCTACATTCTCGGTGGTGGTCTGTAGCTGTAATGTTCTATTTTCAATAAGAATGGCACGTGAGATTCCTTAAAATAGAATTTATTGATCTGAAGATTTAAGAAGATTTGGAGTACCTTTGTGTTTATTAGCATATATTTTGACCTGCTGTTTCCATATTAAAAAACACATTATTACCGTTTTAGACGGTGAAGAAAAGTTCAAGGATTAGACACTTGTATATAAATTTTACATCGCACGTGACATGGACATGTGAAACATATAAATTTTGTATTTAAATAAAACATGAAGTTTAATTTATAAAATTTTATTTTTTCACAACACTTACTTTTCTATCTATTTGATTAAGAGATGCAAGAATTTAATACTACAAACGTATAAAATTATACTAAAATATCTCTCATTTATTGTTATGTTATCTTGTCTCACAAAAACAAAATAATTATTCATTAATTAAGTCAGCGGAATATTTTCTAAGTAAAAACCGAAGTTGAATAACGAGTGTTCTTCCCTCACTCATGTTTGAAACAATTCCCTTAATGATGCGAAATTACATCCCTCCCTTCCCCTGCTGAATTGGATGCTGACTATGTTAGCGATGAGAAACGGAGCAAAATACGCTTCAAAATTTTAAAATTTACAAAGAAGTAGATTATTGTGCTCTTACCAACTTTATATGAACTAAGTTCAACGGTAAGACTTACTATAATTATAGTATATTTAAGAAACAGCAAAGATGATTTTAGCTAACCTTGGGTGTCACAAACATAAAGCAACACCTGGGTTCAAACCACCTCACCTGCTGGAGCTATAGATACATATAGACTCCAATAATTCGCCTCCTACGATTACGCATCAGGTATAAACGCTTGCTGCAATTCTGATGCATCAACTCTTAAAGGTAACCCTTCAGCCACAAGCGGACTTACAAATAGTATAAGACACGTACCTGCAGTGTCATAAAGCCGCGCTAGCACATGCTTGTCTGACATCTCGATCACACGGTCCACATATTCCACAACTTTGACTCCGCCGCCGACTGCTGGCTTTTGAATATAACTAGTCTTACAACATGCTTCACAACTAAATTTGTTCGCTAAATTTGTCTTTCCTGTTCCACAGTCACCTAGCAATACAATTTTAAAATAATAATCAGGTTTTCGCTCCTGGATGGTTTCAAGTTGTTTTCTTTTAAAACTCCAGCGTAATGTTTTGTTTCCGTAAATCTGCGTTAGGCCCGTTCTACGCAGTTCCGGGGACACAAAGTAGTTCTTTTCTTTCTGATGCGTTAAAAGAACCATTTTGTTTAGATTTTGCTTAACTCATTACAGATTGCAAGAGAAAGGTTTCTTTTATAGAAACATGTACGTCCATATTATACAGAAAAAATGTATATTGAAAGTTATCCCCTTTCAAAGGTTTTATTACGAATAAAAATTTAGAATGACCCGGTCAAAACTAAATCATAGGTGGCGAAATAAAGGTATATTATCTGGGCTGACCAATGTTTTAAAACCAACTGACCTTGATATCGATAACGATTTGTTTTTATCGTTATTTAAAGAAAAGTGGCCAAAGGTATGTGTATGGACTAATGTCAAGGTTCTTATATAGGAGACAAAGCCCTGTCCCGTAATAAGGACATCTATGATTAATACAGACTGAACTTGTAGCGGGCACAGGTGCTCGTCCAATCTTGGTGTCCATATAAAAAAAAATTGAAGTTAAAAAAAAAAACAACATCAAATTAACAATTTTGGGTTGAGTGTAAGAAAAAAAAATGATTTTCCCTATATACCATTACTATATATATAGGAAAAAAAATTTTTTTTTTTTCAATTTTTTTATTTCTTACACTAAACCCAAAATAGTTAATTTGATTTTTTTTTTTTTTTGTTTTTGTTAATTTTTTTTATATGGGCGAGCACCTGTGGTAGCGGTGTGTGTGTGGGGGGGGGGGGGGGGGGGGGGGGTCGGTCACCCTATCTAAAAGCTGAAAAGTATTACATGTATATTCAATAAGAAAATTCAAGTTAATAATACACTTTTTGAGTGACAGCAAAAAAAAATTATTGTGTACGACTCTGAAGAAATCTGCTTACAACATCTAAGTACATTGATAGTAGGCCTTTGCTATATATCTATGTCTAACTGGCTGGTAATTTACCAAACGATATATATTATAGGCATGTCATATCGGTAAAACTTTAACATACATGTAACAACTGAAAAAGGCCAACAATGGATTTTCAGATGGATTTAGGGGCTTAAAACTGGATTTTTACCGGATTTTTAACGCGTGTTTTGCACAATGCATGTATGGGTATGAAGAACTCATATTACCCTAAATATTACAAGTGTTTTTTATGATCTTATTCATAATCAATTAAATTTAACAAACAAGTCTGTGTCTTCTATAATTATAAATTTATAATATCATGATGTGTTCTGTTCGAGACTAGTTTTTATCAACATAAAGTATTAACATCGTCTTTTTATTTTCCTTGTTCTATTTTTAGCAATATAAACATCATAAAATACTGGCAAAATTGTCCAGTCAATAAATCTACATACTCTTCAGTATAAACTGTTTAATGTGCAAATACAGAATATTAACAAATTTTGTAGAACCAACTCTAAAATATCTTAAAGTGCACTATTAATTTTACAAAAATTTCTGATTTATCAAAATACAATACTAGTATAGAAAACGCAATTAATAAATAAAAACATTTATAAACAACGTGAAGAATATGGCCTTTTAACTCAAAAGGTCAATGACAATACTTAGCACATATTATGCTCTCAAACTGATCAGCTGTAATCTAATGACCTTGAAAAAATAAAGTAATAAAAAATAGGCCACATTCCTGTCACTGACCTTTTATGGGACTCACCTGAGGTTTAAAAGCCTAAAAACAGAACATTTAAATTTCTTACATAAATGAGCATGGGCTCTTTAAACAGAAAAATATGCAAAGATAGTTAAGAAATATACGGGATACATTGAAAATCGTATTTCATGCTTTTCATAGCCTGATTTGAGTGAAAAATGTTTAAAAAAGCTTTTCATTTTGGGTCATTTTTTTACAATTTGAATAATATTCTGGGTAAACGAAGTGCGTGAATGATCTGAAATTTTGCACAAAGATGAGTTGTCTAAACCTACATCAAATAATACATTTATCTGGAAAAAATATTTTCAGTCCCATCATGTCAAAAAACCCTCAGTGGAGTCCCTGAGTCCCTGTAGCATACATATAGTAAAATATAATGAATGAAATACATCGAAAATAAAGTTTAAAATAAAGTAAAAATAAATTAACTCTAACAAGAACAAGCATTGTCAAATACAGAAACAGCAACAACAACAACAATAATATCTCTAACGGTGAATATTTCTACTACACCATGACCTTTAAGAAACAAAGATGAAGAAAAAGTGCTTCAAGGTCAAATGTGGTTAATCTGACAGTTGGGGTTTTCAAGTCACACTGAAAGTCATATGGCAACTTTCAAGCATCACTCATGCGTGAATACCTAAAGGTCCCTTAGGAAAAGGAAAGGCATTTAACTTGTAGTTATATTGCAGTTATTTAGCAGTTTTTTCAAATAAATGCCTTTTTTACAATTTTTTGCCCTTCATCTTAATTTGTAGGATTCCATTTAAACAGCAGTTCTTAAAAAACTGGTAAAAACTTGTTGTTAAAAAACTTGTGTCCAGCATTTTTTACCAGTTTTTCAACATTTAAAAATAAATGGTGATGTTAAACAATACTTACATTACCATTTTTTACAAGTTATTTTCTTGAACCATTTTTTTAAGCTAAAAGATTGTGACAGAAGCTGCAGTTTTTACAAGTTTTTATTTAAATGCTTTTAGGAAAATATAATTCATGCACACTAATATTCACTTAATACCTTGTAGTGCATCATAGCAATATTGTATGTGTACAACTTGTATATATAATAAGCATATTATAACTATCAAAAGTACATCAAAAGTACATGTACATGTAAGGTACATCACATAACTAATATCATACCATGTTATCAGACTAATCCACTGTCATTTCTAATTATATTTAGACATTTACTTAAACAAAGTGGTCTAATAAAAATCATTAATTGTAAGTTTGTTTCTTAATTCAGCAATATCCTAACTTGATAACAAGCTTAGGTCTACATTGTACTTGAAGAGTATGCTTGCGTGCAGAAAGACCAAAAGGGTTGGGACTGATCACTCCTGCGAATTGTGGTCAAAATCCCACCAGCAGCTAGACATACGAGTCAAACAAGGTTTTTCTATTTTTAGCTCTGGAAGCCATTTTGTGCAGCAAAAAGGGAATGTGACAGAGATATGCATAACCAGGGTTTGGTGTAAATCTTACTAGCAGTTTGATCTGTGAAGCTGCACAAAGCTTTTTCTATTTTTAGCTATGGTGGCCATTTTGTGCATCAAAACAGAAAAGTGCTAGGGAATATGCACAACTAGGTTTGGTACTGATCAATTAATCCAGTGAAGATTGATCAAAATCCCAACAGTTGTTTTGACAATCCAAATGAGGACGGATGGACCAACAGACGGACAGCTATGGAAAAAAAAAATATTGTGGTGCCCAGACCCCTGCTTAGTGTTTCCAGGGCAGTCTGCAGCCTCACATTAACCCAGGGTTCGTTTTACACGGCCCAAGTACCAAATTATAAATGAACACATAAGACAATTTGTAACTTAAAAACTCTTTTAATTAAAATATTATATAGATCAATTTATTTAAATATACATAGTCATGGATGCCTAAAGTCTATTATTATTATTCCTATAGATGACCAGATTTCAGTAAACAAGTACCAGGTTTGGTACAATATAATGAGATACCAGATTTGGTAGTTACCAGATTGGGTACTATAACCGGATTGGGTATTATACCAGATTTGGTATGAACCATTTCTGGAACAACCGTTCTCTACACTGGCAAAGTAATTATAACTGTTTAACAATAACAACAAGTGAATTTCACCTGTATCCGATCCATTTTCAGTTATTTTTTAATCGTCTACAATTATCTACTCAATAGAGTACTTTTCTACCAGACGACCTGATATGAGATGACAACGATATGCTAACGCGCAGTATTTATAGTACCCTGTGACGTCATCACATTAATATTCAAAATGGCCGAACAGTGGCAAATTCAGAAATGTGACAAAATATTAAGCAAGATTACATGAAAATAAACGTATGTCAGCATTTAAGAATAGATAATAAACATTAATATGAAATTAGGCAAAGCCTATGAACGGGGAAGTCGGTAAAAAATCCTTTCATTTTTTCCGTTTTAAAGGTGTCATTCGGTATTATATGTACCCACTTCCGTTTTCACTCGGAACACTCGACGATTATTATTAATCCGAAAAAGTTGAGATTTGTTACGTTATCGGAATACACCGCCTATTATCATTGACATACATTGTAAAATGCGGCGCCCGGCTAGAAAACTGACACTGAAAAAAATCATTGATAGTATAGAATTCTATATATTTTTTAATTGTTTTTTATTTGATTTTCTTTTACATATACACGTGTAGTCTATAGCCGGGCAAGCCAAAGCCCGGACCCGCTTCGCGGGCCCGGTCTTTGACTTCCCCGTAATATATACAAATGGCATCTGAAAATCATAATAATGTGAGGTAAAAGCAGTTACATAGAAAGTAATCATCAAAACAATGCGATGGTTCGTACTCAGAAATATTCGTACTCAAAGTCGGAAAATAAATAAAAGTAATAAAACATTGATAAAATAGCCTGAGCATCACAATATCATTAGAATTGTATCAATGTATGGTTATGACAAAATTTGTTTGAGACATAACAATAAAGTTACAAAGTTAAAATTATATCTACACATAAATTTATATGCAAAATAGATATAGACCATGCTCCTAAAATGCATAGTAATTTCTAAAAAAAATTGCATCAGTTTATTCAAGAAACACAATTATCTACTTTGACCTGTTTAACGTTTTATATAGAATAAAACTAAAACTTGATTACCGGTAAAACTACAAAATCATGAATGATAATATTTTTCTCTAATACTTTACATATTGGCATAGTTTACATTGTAAACATTTATTTTCAGATGTGAACAGTTTGTTAACAGAATTATATTAGCTCAAATAAATGCAACAGTTTTTTGAAAGTTTTTTTGCAGTTATTTATGAGGTCATATAAAGGCTTCAGTAGTTTTTTGAAAGTTTTTTAATGATGTCATATAAATGGTTGAAAATGCAAACACAATTTTTTGGCAGTTATTTATGAGGTCATATAAATGGTTGGAAATGCTATCTCCATATTTGGAGGCAGTTTTATG